CAATTTATCTTGTCCCATAATAGGTTAAACACCTGGGGATGGATTATAGCTTTGTAGGCTTATATTCCCAAAATGCAATTCCTTGTGCACTTCTTTCTTTAACTGACGTAAAATGAATGACAACACCAGATTTTCAGGACAACTTTATATAATTTCTAAGCCTAAAATGAAGTTATGAGTAGCATTTATCATAGTTTGCCATTTTTGATAGGAAATGTTTGGTCAGCTTTGCATTCCATATGCATTGTTTTCTTCCTTCTACCTCTGTAATCACTTGAGGGAACTGTGAGATATAGCAAAAAAGGCTATTCCATTATGACAGAAAAACAATTCCACTCTAGATTTATAGTCTAGGGTTAGGGCTGAATGGTATTTGTTTACTCTTTGCTTATGAACTAGCTCTGTAGTAATATAATGGAAAGACTGTTTATTCTGATTACAAGTATTATTTTGACTTTTTCTGTGTTTGTTTTGTGTCTTTTCCCCATTTGTTTTGGATATTAAAGCAGTAAAAATAAATAAACTTTGGGGAGCTGTATTTTTCACTGGAAAACATACTGAGAAAGTTAATGTCATCTATTTTCTCATGCAATACATAGCTTACTGGTATGCAAAGTTCATTGTTAACTGTGTTTATATTTGGCTGACTTCCTGTTGGTTTTCATCTTGATAGTTGTCAAAACATTTTTTGGTGCAATATTTAACTATTTAAAACCAGTTAGCTCCTTTCTCTAAGGTAAAAAAGAACATATGATGATCAGTCAGTACTGAGACTGTCATGTATTGACCTTAAACATCTATTCATGGCATAAATCCAATTCCTGATGTTGCATCATCAGTGTAAGTACAAATGGCAATGAATATCTTCTTGTTCTAAGTTACTTTTCTCACTTAGAACATATTACCTTAGGTTGATAAAACAACTTCTAATTAACCTGAAATATGGAGTAAAGGTGCATTGATCTTTTTCTTGGTTCTGCTATGCAGACTTCACATTGCTGATTATAAGTTTAAATGCTTCACTGCAGACAAAATATATGACAAAAAATAAGTATGATTGGAAAGGAAGAAAGGGAAGATTCAGCATGTGCTTCTTGACCTTATTTTTTAAAATGTGGAGTCTGAAACACAAGTAGAGTACCAGTAAATGTTATATTCTATACCTTTTATTAAAATACATAGGAATGATGTAGGAATGTAACTCTGTTGATGCTATTGATTAATACTGTAATGGGATAGAGTTCTGGTTATTTGAACTTCCTTGTTGCTATTCTCAACTTATAATGTAAATCTATAAAGTGCATGCTTTTTGAACATTGCGTATTTCGGTGCTGTGCAGTTTGCTGTATTGTTTCAACCTACCAACACTGAGTCATTCTAGCAATAGCTCTCTGCCTCCTGTTTTTCTTGGGAACTTTTATTATTAACACAGGAATTAAATAATGCTTCTAAATAAATTAGGGTTCATATATATCACAAAACAGAGGCTATTTGATAGTGGTCATATCCCCATTTTGTGGTATAACACCAACTTACTACTTGCTACATGCAATATGCAATATAATTGGGCTTGGGATTCGTGGTTGCTCCAGTGATCATCAGTGGGCCCATTTCAAGGTGCTGGTCTTAACCTCTAAAACTCTACATGGATTGGCACTCTTGTACCTGCAAGACTGTCTCTCCTAATCAGAATTGACTTTTTCTGTGCATTCATTCTGTAAAGGGGTGCTTCAAGACCCCCTCCTTTGTAAAGGAATAGGAGCCCAAAGCATCTTCTTGGCAGTAGCTACCATGTTATGGACTCTCTTGGCCCCTAAAATATGAGGAGTCCCACCTTGCTTGCATTTTGCAAAGGTATTAAGACCATCCCATTTGAAATCTAGGATGCATTTATAAGTGGGTTTACTTTTTTTCTTCATTAACCACCTTGAGTCATTTAAAGAATGCTGGGTAGGCTATTTAGAGATTTATATGGGAATGATGGAAGTATTGCTGTAAACTTAAGGTTCTCGGCTATGAGTTTTGATTGCTGTGGGATTGCGAGCCAGTTTAAGGGAGCGTGCACCAGCTTGTCCAGATAGAGCAGGAGCCTTGTCAGACAGTGCTCCTGCTTTGTGGACAGTATTGCTGGGATCTCTTAAATCCATCCTTCCCTCCGATATACCTGCTTGTAATTCCTTCCAGACAGTACTGATTCTACTACCTTTGCTAGCACCTCTGCCAAGAAGGCAGGGTGGAAAAGGTTGGTGTCTTCCTTTCCCTTTCCTGGTGGCTGCTCTCAAGGGGGAGATGGTGGATTCAAGCTCCAGCTACACCCTTAGCTGCCAGAGGGGTGCTACTATGAGTGCCAACATGTCCTCAGTTGTCCACCTTGCTGCAAGGGAAGCCATCACCTGGGCCAGTGCACTGCTGCTTTGCTGTTGAGATCATGCCTGCAAGAGACCAAAAGGAAGAGTACAAGAGCTGGGTAGAAAGGGATGAGTGGTGGCAATTGCTGATTTGCTATTACCTTGTGCTATGCGGGGCTAATGTCAACAGCATCAGTAAATTGTTAGATAATAATGGAAAAGGAAAAGTTGGCAGAAAGAAAAATATCAACTCCTTTTTCAGAAGGGATCTGAAAATATTCAAGAACTAACAAGCTATTAGAATTATTCAGATCTTGGGGAGTGGAAGATTTGAAAGGGTAAATATTAGGGTTGTAGAAGGCAACCAGAGGGGTCTTCACAAAGGATGTTGGTGGAAGCAAAGTGCCCTTTTTGAAATGTTGAGAAGGCCTCATCCTCCAGGTGACTTGGTCCGGGTGCTTTGTGTCACCAGGTGGCTGTGTGTGCACAACTGTTTCACTTTGCTTTCAGCCCAGCTCAATATATTCAATACATATAGAGACAGCCTGGAAAACTCAGTGTCTGACTAAGTGCTTCAATGAGAAGGATTTGCTGATGCTTATATCAGCACAACCATCGTAAATTTTTGGAATCCTTGCAAGGATGTCCTGGTAAAGGGGGAAAGCATACACCTATCCTGAAACTGGCATAAGAACCCTGAAAAGGGAGATTAGGGTTTTGTTTTTGTTTTGTTTTTTTACTTTGCCAGTAGGATTGTCCCACTCATCAATATAATTAAATTCTAGCAATTCAAACTAATGTTTGCTGAGGTTTTTTTTTTTTAATGAAATCATTAGTTTTATTCCTAGAGTAGGGGGTTACACAAATCCATTTATCATTTAGAGATCATAGCACTACAGAATTTGAGAATTCAAATTGAGATGTAACTTTTGCATGATTGCATTGCCAAACTTCAGTAAAACCTAATGCTGCTTGAATCTGAGGGGAAAAGTACCTTGTCATGAATGAGTAGAAGTATGTTTAAATCTTGCATCTACAGTATTTTTTGTTGGATGACCTATAATATTTGGTGACTGAAATCAAGAACATAAAAATGGGTCTGTGAAATTAAATTTTTCAGACAGAAGCAACTTAGAATCAAACTGAAGCAGCAGTTGAGGGGATCATCTAGCTCATTGTATTAGGAGTTAGCATAATTCACAAAGAAACTACAACTCTGAAAAATTATCACAATGAAAGTGAAAGGCATCAGGAAGTTCCAGTATTAAATGTACAAGTTATGTCTGTATGTGCAGTGTTAAACTGAAAAACTAAAGGCGTTTCAAATTTGTAGTCATAGATCTTGAAGGGCAAGCAATGGCATACTGGGATCTTGCGGGGGCATGCTTAGGTCCTGGGTCTTCAAAGGACATGGGGAAGTTGGTACATTGAACAAAGTTTTGTTCTTTCCAACCAACAGAAGTTTGAATAGAAATTATGTGAAGGGGCTGAAGATTCTGTCTGATTGTCAGTAGGATAAGTCTCTGAAAACAGAATGGAATGGGGCCAATTTGGTGTGTGTTGGGGGGAGAAGTTGGCAAGAGAGATCAGGTTTGAAAATGGACTGGATCTGGCTGGGAGTTGCAGAGAAAAATATTTTTTTAAAAAGTCCCCTAATGCATTTCTATGGGAGAGGTGGGGGACAGCAGCTTAGAATGCTGCTGATGGCTCTGTGAGCCTCTCTCCCTCCTGGCCATGTGGAACCGCTAGCAGTGGATTCAGATTCCAGAAGCCCTGCTTTGCAGGCTTTCCCCACTTAGTTTGTATGGACCCAGACCAATAATTTGTCATTCTGGTGGCATAGAAGAAGTTTAACAAATTATTATCTATTTTGATTGCTGGGAATTCTCCCAAGTCTGCAAGCAGAGTTCTTACCTAGTATTGTTAAGCATCAGCTAAAATGGAAAACAATCAAACTGGGGACCTTCAACATGCAAGACACATTTGCAGACTAGAAATAAATCCTTAATTTATACTGCTCCCTTTTACCACCAGAACCAGAGTTTTGCTAGTGACTAATTAGGTTTGAGGAACATAATGTATTATATACTAGGTGCTGTGCTTTTCTTGAGTAATTTAGGGTATGATAATTCTTGGTCTAGTGGTTAAGGCTCCAAGCTAGAAACCAGGAGATGGTGAG